GCAAGGCTGTTCTTGTGTTTCTTGACCTAATTTGTATAAACCTTTAGGTTTAGGAGCTTGCACTCACTGGTCTGTGAGAGTGGCTGGTTTTTGTGTTTTTTTCTTTCACACAGAAATATCTTTAGGGACGCTGCATCACACTCGGGTCTTCATACTAGTCTGTTCTTGCATACACAGCTCAGAGCTGTTTGTCCAACAGAGAGTTTGCTTTGAAGCATTTTGTGTTTCAGAAAACCAGGGAATTTCCCGTATCTCTGTGGCTGTGAACTAAAGGCTCATATACTTAATTTGACAGCAGTGAGCCATAGGATAACAAATATCCACGGAGAAAGCTATGGTGAGAATCATGATGAACACAGAGGAAGGAGAGCTGTAGATTCTTGCTCTCCAATTTGGACTGGAGGATGAAACCCTCCTGGTACCTGCTGAGGGGTAGGAACACATCAGTTACCCTTCAATGCACACATCCCCTCCAACTTTAGAGGTGGAGCATCATCAGTTGATAGAGGACATAAAGTGATTTGTTTGTTGGGCTAAAGCCCAACAGTGAATACTGGACCCTTGAGGTCCCTTTCAGTTTTATGGTCCTCATGTATTTATCACAGAACTCAGCATCAGTGAAAGGAACAGTTAATAAGAGTACAATGAACCACGTCCAGGACGTCTGACAGGGTAGACTGTTTTCAGTCACTAAATAAACAATTTAAATTCTCTTTTCAAGTTCAGTACGGATTTTCAGGGTGGATTTGTCTCATCCAGCTGTAGCTGCCTAAAAGACCTGTGTTTGGTTTAAACTAGTTATGCTTGTTTAACGGTGGTCTGCAGATGGGAGGGAGGGAGGGAGAGAAGTTCAGATGGGTGATTCATCCAGCAGATGTAGATGTCCAGAAGAGGAGGTGAATCACTCTCTAGATGCACTTATTGACTCTCTCCATTGACTCAAGGGGGAACTTTGAATACTATGTTGACCATGCAACTCTTTCTTTACTTGAAGCTAAATCCTTATTGATCTTGCAAATGTGCTCCATTTAAGATGCAAAATTTGTGTGCTTCATGTCAACTCTGGATCACTTTTATGGGAAATAAAAAGCAGTTAAAAACAGTTTGGCTACTGTAAATAATTAAGTTGGGTGAAAAATTTCTGAGGATCATTTCTAGCACGTGGTATAACCAGGGCTTCCCCATACCTCTTCTTTGCAGCAGAGCTGGATGCTGCTGTGGAGAACGGGAAGGGCCCTTGTGCATGGCATCTTTAATGACTTCTCTTGAAAATACTAAGCATAGTCCTCTAAGTAATCTGTAAAGAAAGCCAAGAACGGCCTATTTATGTGCAAAACCTAGCTATTTGAGCTTCAGCTGTTCAGTAGAGAGTAGCACTGTATCCCATGCTTAAGGTAAAATTCCCAATACATTTTCTCCCACGTAAAAAAATAAATAATGTGAGTTTGCAACCACCATTACCATAATTTCAAGGACGTATAAGCAATACTGATTAACAGAGTTTAGTTAGCTATTAGAGCCATCCCCCACTCCTCCAGGCAAGGTTCATATGAAGTGTTATTCCCTTGAATAGAGGGCTCATGTAAGTGTGATTCACAGCAGAAAAGTTGAATTAAAGAAAGAAAACACAAAGCTTGCTTGAAAATAAGTTCTGTGAATATTTACCACTGCTTTTGCTGGGCAGGGTTGCAATAAGATCATAGTGTTGTCTTGTCTTTAAGCTGGCTTGTTTTTGCTTGCAACATCATTGGATTTATAAAACAAGCAATGCCCAACTGAAAATTTAATACTGCTTTGCTTTATTTGAGATGGTAACGTAAAGGGGCCAAGTCTCCCAAGTCTCGAGAGATCTTGATACAGACATCTATGAATTTTTGTTTCCTCCTCAGCTTCTAAATGATTCTGGTTTTTTACATCAGATAAAACTGCACACTGTAAAATCTGCTTACAGCCTCCGCTACTCAGACCTCCAGACAAAACGAGTTTGTGCACTGAGTTTTAAAAGCGCTTGCAGGATTTCAAAAGGCTCTTGTTAAACCTAGACCTAAAGAAGGCTGGAGCTGTGTCTGTTTTACTCCCTGGAAACTCCATTTCTGCATCTTTCTTGGTCTTGTGGCATTGTATAAAAATAATCTTTATCATCTTGTCTGTGGTGACCTGGGCCATGTGACAGGCTCTTTTCCTCCCAGCTCTCTGCTGAAAGAGAGGATTTCTCTGAGCAGCAAAAATCTGGTGATCAATCGAAGAAAGTCAACAAGCAACAGAGACTCCAGCACTTTCTTTTCCCCCTACACCTTCCTAGATGCTCAAGATGCTCCTGTTTCCCACCATCACCTTCCAGGTTTCCACTGAGTTTTCACAGCGCCTCCTCTCCTTTATTACCACAGACCTCTCTTGCTAACATCTAATCTTAATCATCTAAATTATAATGTCAATTATGTTTTTTTTCTCATAAACCCCTGTTTTTTCTGTGCCTAGATAACTTTCCGCTTTGCTGGGTCCCTCTGTTCTCACCCTCCCTTTGCCTTGCTCTGCTTTGGGTCAGTTGCTTGCACAAGCAGCACTGTTTTTTCCTGGAATCGTTCAGCAAGCTGATCTGTTTCACAAAGCTGACCTAACTAATTGCTCTCACAAGCGGTAACGGTTTTTTTTCTGACCTTTAAGAGGTCTAAATGTGGAGTTACAGGTCTTTCTCATGCAAACTGTGCCTGTAGCAATTAGCCACCTGGGGTCACCGTTCCTTCCAGTACCAGAACTGACTGTACATTGCATGTTCTTGCTGGGATAAAAACTCACCATTTCTAATAAAATCATAGTGGCTATTATCCACCTACGCTGAGATTTGCTGCTTGAAAGCAAATAGCTGTGTGAAAGGGGGAGCACATCTCAGCTCACAGGGTGAAAAAAGAACTTTTTTCAGCAAAAGGAAAAATTCAGCTTGTTGAGAATCTGCATCCGCAGTCCAAACTGCTGCCCTCTGCTCAGAGTTTGCAATCGTTAATTGAGCGACAGGATTCTGAATAGCTGAGAGAGGCAGACTGAGCTGAAGGACTGCAGAAAAGGTCTCCCATCTCTGTCTCCATCATGCAAATAGCTATGAAATTAAATAGTGTGACCAGGCAAGAAATAGAAGGAGATGTTGGGGAGTAAATCCTTGCATCTCCAAAGAACAGACCACATGTTTAGTAGGGGAAGGACAAATTGTGATAAACAGTCTGGGATTTCTTTCCGTGCAGTGTAACAAATACGTTTTACCAAGACAGATGGTTGCAGTTGTGCATACGCAGTTGCTTATCTCCAGGTATCTTGGAAAAAGGTGAAGAATTGGGGTCTACGACTTTCAGACAGATGTTTCAAGAGCAAATCTCTCAGAGTCCTTCAGTGGGCTTTGGCATGAGTGTTTCCTATTACCCTACTAAATATGAAAGATGATTTGGTACTAAAGCAAAGGCAGTAAATATCTGTGGAGCATGGAGCAGCTTCTCGGTGAGCAAACCTTTTACCCACAGCAGTTGCTCCAAAAGTTTTACTTGTTCTCCATGCCCTGTTGCATTTGGGTTTGGGCAGTAATCTCCTGGCCAAAGCCTCATTGCCAACAGACCATCTAAGAGGACTTACATCTGCATCAGTGAAGCTGCTCAAAAGCTTTAATGAAAAGGGCAAAGGGAGATTTATCAGGAGAGAGAGAGCAGGGGCTGTAGCATCTCTTCTGTCTGCTGCTCTCATGAGCACTGCCTAAAGTCTTGTTTCCACATGCTGGGGGAGAAGCAGCACATTTATGCAACCTCCCCTAGATATGGCATCTTCATTCATCCCCCCAAAAAGGTCTGTTTTGGGTCTCACTCAAAAGAAGCTCCCTTGTGTCAGCTGCCTTTCACAGGACCATCACCCCTACGGGTGTGAGGACAGGAGAGTCTCTGATAGTGAGGCACAGAGATATTAACACAGCATCCTCTCTGTCTGTGGCTACGACTGATGGATGCAGCCATAGCAGCATTTTAAAATGTATCACATCTATTTCTTAGCATGCCTGTTAGGAAGAATTCATTCATTCGGGGTTTATAATGGGGAAGTAAATGTCCAGCATGTAATAATCATGATAGATTACCACAGGTAATTTAAATCTGTTTTTCCATAGTCTATCCCCACTAATTCTCTAGGTACTAACAGATAATAACTTCCGTGGAAATGGCTGTAGAAAAACTACATAAAGTGCGATACTTCCTTGATCATTTCCAGTTTCCCATTGACATTTGGAAGAACCAATTTCACCGAAGCATGGCAAGCCCAGACAATTTAGGAACAAGAGAAACCCTTTCCAAACCTGCCAGCCTCATCCTCATATATTTTTCTTGATCAAACTGTTCATCTTTCAGAAGCTCGGCTGCCACTCAGAGAAACTGCAAACATGCATACATCAAAAAATGAATGGAGTTTGGCTTTATCATCAGCAGATGAAGACCTCCAAAAAGCCAAAATGATACCCCATGGGACATTTGCTTTGTAGGCAGAGCCCACAGAATGTGTCTGAGGTCCATTGTCATACACCGAACAACTGTTCTACAGAGATGGTCCCTCTCAAATGCCTGTCCAGCCACAGATTTGGGGTCAAGTGGCTGCACAAACCTGTTAAAATCTAGCCCCCTAAAATCTAGACCTCAGCTGTAGTGGAACAACTCTGGAGTCAAGAGCTCTGATGTGTCAAACCACTTCCTACACACGACGGCACGCTCCGCCACACTGAGCTTTAAGTTTGATTTCCTGGATAAAAGCTACTAATACCTGAACAGAGAGCAGCCTTTATTCTCTCTTGCGGAGCCAGGCAGCGAAACGACGATTTGCTGACCAAAGAGCAAAGTCCTTGCCGCGCACACAGGATGATGCTCCCCACTGGTCTAACCAGGTGGTAGATGGCTCATCAGCTTGCTCGGTACTAGTCCATCGCTTCTGAGAAACTTCACCATCCTCAGTGTTGCGGAGAAAAGATTTGAACAAGTCCCATGGAGCTGAAGTGCCTTTTGATGTGGCTCTTGTTTGGATCCATCAAGGGGACCAAGTCAGGTAAACGACTATTTCTGCCTTTTGGGGAGGGAAAATATGATTTGCTTTTTTGTGGTGGCTGCTGGAGGATGTTCGCAACATCCTGACTCCTTTCAGGTAAGAAAAGTTGTTAAGAGCTTAAGGAATTTATTATTCTAAGGAAATGAGAGAAATGGGTTTTGTGCCCACAAACCAACTGCAGACAATCCAGAGCACTACGGGATATTTTTTGTCTGAGTAATGTATGTATCCTCCAACCCATCGCTGGCACAGTGGGCAGATCAAAGCAGCCTTGTGCACCTTAGGTAGCTCTTTGAATTTGTTTTTTTCCATTTTGCATGTAATTTTAGGAAACATAAAAATAGACACTGAAATGTCAGTACCTCTGTAGGTAAAATTGACAGCAAGGCAATAGCAATAGTTAAAAGGTGCCATCCAAGTTTACTGTGGATACTGTAGATACCAAGTATTCTTTCAGCCACGCCTCCCAACCAGTAGTGCCCATAAACTGTGAACAGAGGCAGCTAATTCATTCAGCATAATTTTACACATTTATCAATTGTAATACTGCTTATATTTGGCTTATTTATTGTGACAAGTGTGTGCATTGAGAAATGGTCTGGTGACAGATTAGCGTATTTGAATTTAAACTGCTTTGCTCAGAGGGAAAAAAAATATCTTACTTTCTCAGTGCTCCATAAATGTGATATTTCCTTCTGTATCTGCAGATGATGTCCAGGTTGAGAGGTATGAGCAGATACAGCCTAAGGCAGGTTCTCGGATGCAATGGTACTGTAACTGCTAATGGATCATCTTTAGCAGGGCTGCGAATTTTACTAGGTGCAGGGCATCTCAAGGGAAGACCGTATTGCTTATAACCTGACTCACTAATGCAGGAAGTACCTTCACAAATATTTAACCCCCAGGTGATTTTATTCTCGTTAAAGTATTTTACCAGTAAATGCTGTACCTTTTCCTTCATGGGGCATTTTCATTGCCAAACGAAGTGCCACTGCCCACGGCAAGCGTTTAAGTGCTGCGTGCAAGAGCAGCACTGCGAGAAGTTCAGCCAGAGATATGTAAATAGGATTGGTTTGGGGATGAGTCAGGCCCCCTATATCACGCTTTCTGTATTACTGTGCCCGGGACACGTTGTGAGATTTCTTGCTGGCAAGTCTCGTTTATCAGAAATCTTTCTGTTTTTTGGAAAAAATTGAGGGCTGTTAGAGCAGTTGCATTTTATGCAATTTGATGTGATTTAATTCTCTGATGGATGACTAAATGCATAGCATTGCATTCTTCTCTGTACCACTAAGCTCTTCTTTCCTCAGCTTCCTGTATTTATTTTCAATGTCTCTCCAAATGTTTAAACATAATATTTATATGTATATATTTAATTTCTCCCTGCAAACAATACACTAAGGTAGAAACACCACCTTTTATCAATTTAGGTTTTTTTATTGTAGAGACGCCTGAAGTATTGTGGCTGTAAGACCTATTGTTTTTAATTCCTTAGGAGGATCAACAAGGAGACCTGGGAACAGACATAAGCAAAGAAA